CTTTGCCAGAGGGGGAGGGCAAATAGCGAATCGGTCGACCTCCGGGTGATGGGGTCCACGGTCGTTGACGTTGCATTAGGACAGGGAACGATAAGTCGTAAACGTAGACCCTTTCAATGGGCATCTGAATCACCATGGCCGTTGATACCATACGCACTAGAGTATCAAGCCTAGTGACCTTCTTACGCTGGTTTTGCGCTGGCTATGGCGACGACCTCAGTAGTATCCCAAGTGAATCTTCGGTCGCACACGGATGAGTGCGCAAAAATGAGCAGAAGAGAGTCCCGACAACGAACATATAATTTATTTTCCTTAGTACGGCTATCAAGGAGTCGACCTGTATGACTAGCATACACGCAAGAGCAATCTGCGATGAACATTCGATAAAACATATTTGATTATTGTTCATTTGGAATGGGATACTTTATAGGAAATAGTGCTGGGCGTAATGAGGACGCTGGATTGTGTGCGATGCAAATATCGAAGCGACTTAACTGCCTGTCGATTGCTTCGGAAGTTCTTGCAGCTCGAATCTATTGTTTGAGACAATGGGCTAAGCATCTTTAATCCTGACCACATTTTGGTAAACATTTTCTGGAACAGGTGGGATAGACATTTAGAAATCTCAGTTATGTTAATGCGAATTTAAATAAACTGGGACGCATCTATAAATTTTAAAGGCCTGCGCTTTTCTGAAAATTGTTCTAATCTCCATAGTACACGTCATTACGAACGCTTTGCTAAACAAAGCCCCGATCAATTTCCAGCATAAAATCAGAATTAGATAGAGACCTGTCGATTGCCTCATCTTCAAAATGAAACTTTCGGCTGGACGTTTTTGCTGAATTTCTCAACACATCGAATTATCGACTAGGATCCCTCCTTTAACCACTCACGGATCTAACTTTTGTTCATAAAAAGTGAATATTTTTCGTCCCCTCTGGAAAACCCCGTTGCTCCCTTCTCCAGTATTGAACTAATTACCATTACTCCTACAGCTTGTTTATCCCAATCTACGCACTACTCTCTGGAACTTATTCGGCCCAGTTGTAACTGGCCTCATTTTTGAAGGTAAAAAGTCTCCACAGGAGTTGTTTACAGTGCCTTTATCAATTTCGCTGAGATTTTAAGCGAACTACAGTGAGTTATTTTTAGCACAACATCAGTTAGGCAACGGAAAACCGCCTCCTTTTGAAATCTGATTAACCTTAACATAAATAGAAACTCAGCCGATGTTCTGAAATGCATGCAAAAATATGTGCTTTCAGGGATTTACTCAAGGGAAGTTACTTCCCCCTTTCGAATCTTTCATCTGTATACATGGTTATGCGTTTTTCTGCCGCGAACAAAGCTGAAAGTTTGCAAATTGCACATGTATGCACACACATTACCCTGGGGAATACCTTTTCAAGCGCTGTTGTGACTGGCAACAAATAATCATCGCGCGAGGCTAACTTCACGCGAGTATTGTATACGCACGTTGTTCAGCACGGAATTTGGTAGTGCCCACTGTGAATTGGGTAATCTAGATCAACCTCTTAATGCGCTAATGCGTCGAATGCCATTCCCAGATATTATTCGATTTCTATATGTCTGCTAAGGCAATTACAGAACAGATTTTCTCAAATTAACGTTTCGGGGATTTTCTATTCTACGCCAGGTCTTTTAGCTTATTCGAATTAAACGTGGCTTGCACCATTCGTTGGTATTTTCCAAGTTATTGCAGAGAATGAGTTCATTAGGCATTTTACCGAATCCCATACCGGTTTAGACCACTCAATATTTAGGCTTAACGATGTTTATGCACGTTTACTCCCCAATTTGCAGACAATGTTAGGACTCAGCGGATTTGCCTGAGGGTGTATTTCTTACTTGCATCCTGTTTCCTGTTATCATTTTATTCAGGATTAGATATCAATTGCCTCGGAATCAAGATCTCAACTTAAGAAGATACTATCATTAAATAAACAAAACTGCAGGCTGTTTTCTATTTGAAGCAGGGAGGTTGACCGGATGTGTAACAGATGTATGCCATGCAATGAACTAGAGTCCTATGTATAAATAAATATCGGCTTAAGCCCTATGTCCTTTAACCCAATCTCGATGCATAAACAATGCTTAGCATTGAATTAGATGATCTTAAGCTACGAAATAAAATAACGCATGCCAACAATTTGATGGAATGTACTGGATCTTTTAAATATAATATTTGCATTCTGGAGAAGTTACTAAACAAATATCCAAATACACTGAATGCACATGCAAGCATAGCAAATTAATTTGGAAAGAAACGTCTGATTTCCTTCTGTTTGTCTTGTTTTCAGAATAAGTTAAGTTGATTTTTCAACGCGTAAATAACTTTTTTTACCTCCAAACGTATTTATTGAAGTGATTTTAATACTGAATAAAAAATTGCTCCTTGTGAAAATGCTTAACGGCGTTTACGTTTAAATAGGAAATCTGACATTGTGTAACAATCAAAACCCAAATATCATAGTTTCGCCTGCTATTGACAAAAATGTTGCTCACATTGTTGAACGTTAAGTTAAATCCCATATGTATTTCGAAATTTTATCAAATGGGACTTACACATGCTCCCCATGCTTTGTTTGCGTTGAGAGCGTGCATAAGAGACGTCTGGGTGCCATCGATTTGCCATCAAAATGTCTGCAAGTTCTCCTTTAGCGGTCTCGGACGGTTCCATAGCGTCCATGTAAAGTTGTTCTGTGATAAAATTCAGGACCCCGGATATCTCTGTTTGCTCACATGTCAAAAGGCTAAAATCTAAGAGGGTTCAAAACACTTTCTGGATGATTAGCATGTATGCGATTTAGTATGACGGACAACCACGATAGTTATCAACACTATCAGCAAAAGTCGCCCGCCTTCTTTAATTCGACGGCTTAGCGTTTAAGAAGGAGTGTGGAAACAACGCACCCATAAAAGTTTGTTCATTATAATCTAAATGATATTTCACAATGATGTAGTTACGATGAGCAAATAAATTGAAGTGCGTGTCGAAAGGAAGCGAAACGTTCACACTAGTCACAAAATTAACTATTAACGATTTAGCATCAATTGTCTAGCAGGACGGCGCAATTATTCAACTATGCATCACGGAAGGTCAACCAACCCGGATAAATATTTAATTTTAGTTCCACAGTAGCACGTGGAAACCCTACCTTTCTGTATTACTGGGCAGATGGTATTAAAGGTTAAACGGCTGGGGGATGTCAGAAAAAAAAATAATTTAAAAAGTAGAGCCTATGAAAGTAGGAAGTTATAGGAATAATAATAAAAGGCTCAGACACGTGGTTCGCCGGTTTCGACACTAAAAATTTCGGTCTATGCCTTTTGAACTTAAATATACTGAACCGAGAAATCTGTTTTAGGATTTGTACCAAAACCAAAGCCATGCAACGAAGAGCTGTTGTTTACTATTAGTGAACACAATGGACAGTCCCCTTGGTGAAATTTAAAGATTGAATAAATTATGGATATCCGGGGCACAGTTGTTGTAGGGGCTTACGCGACAAGTTGTATTCGCTTGAAGGGTGGGTTTTAAAGTTACTTATTTAGAGAAAGAGGACTATTTTGGAAGAACATCAACCACTCGTCATGCCAGAATAGGTCCCTTTAGTGATAAATAGCCTGGACTGAATTTACATATTATAAAGGCTTATCTGTACTAGAGGGTATACTCAAATTTAAAAAAAACAAACTTGGACTTTTAGTTGGCGTAACTGACGTTAGGCGAGATGTGAATCTTCGTTTGTTTTTTACAAATGCTTGTTTGCATTCATGCGCAATTTTCACTTTAAAAATAGTAACAATACTATAAAAAATTAGCTTTTTTACGCAGACGTACGGCAAGAGTAACAATGACATCGCACACTGCAAAATTGTCAATTTAAAATATTTGAGCACGTGAGGCTACGCTCAAGTCCTTGTGAACTGACAAGGTGTAAAGGTTGAAATGCCAAGAGAACCACGTAACTTGTATGGACCACCAACCTTGATACAATTGTACTCTTAAGTAATCTTTGCATTGCCTTGGTTTCCACAATAAAGAATGTTAAATCTAAACCGGAACATTCGAGCTGAAGCAATATTTTAGAATCCACTGGATGAATCTGTACTTTATTTCGCATCGTGGAAACAAGCTTAAACCTTATAGCAGATACGTTAATGGTGCCAAAATGAAGAAGAAAGGCCACTCTGTCTGAAATATTCATTTAATTGTAAAAGCGGACCAAGCGTGCTGATTTTATCCTTGGCTTTACACCACAAAAATATGCGTTAAGTAATACTTTATTATGGTAACATTATATTCAATTACTGCCAAAAGGAATGGCTGGTTATCGAATTTTTCAAATGCCAAACACTAAAATTAACGCAATCCTCCCTTTAGATTATTCGTTTTCTTGAACTGTTATTGTTCTCTGATTGTATAAGTACATCAATATGAGACCTATCTCCATTTGCCTAAAAAGAACATCTCTGGTTGCTAAGACAGCGCTTTCAAATGCCATATCATTTTTAAAGTGCTTATAGATACAACACAAACAATTCTTTTCGAGTAGTCTGGCACATCATTAAAACGATTGATCGATGAAGTTAGATCGATATCCTCCTCCTTGTAGACAGTTTGCTACCTTACGAATTATTGATCCTTCGTGCAAGTTAGCATTCATTAAACAGGCTGCTGCTCACGTAGAGTCGGATAAAATAACCTTTTGAGCATTTCTCCATTCTCTCAGATGAATAGAAGTTGGTCATCTTTCACCTACCCATCATCCCTTTTTACTTCTCATTGGTGGCCGCATTTCATACAAAAGGTATATAGAATAATAAAGATGGCCTAGTTGACTTTCTTGTTTAATTACTGACGTGGTTAATCAAAGTGCTTAGTTCCTAATTCGGTAACGCCACGGTGAATTTGTCCGCCCTTAAGCGTTTGAACAGCATGTTTCTGATACACAAACGACTCATTTTATTTATCAGCAAAGAAGCTTACGTTTTTGAATACTCTGCTCCAAAAGGGAGAAACACTTGTAGTTGATGACTGAAATCTGCGGTGGCGTGAATTCATTGAGAAAATCGTCGAATGTTTCCTCGTAGAGGACATATCGTGCGACCTCCTTCCAGCAGTACTCGTTACCAAAACCGTCCACCTCATGAGCCAGCCTCTGAGCCGGCAAGCAGTCGTCCATTCTAGCCAGTCGGAATATTTCAGTGAAGAGAGGTTTGTCCATAGTTGTCCTATCCACTTATATTATTCTGAGAGCCGTGGGTCCTATAATAATAGCATAAGCCAAGAATCATAGTTAACTCTGCTCTAAATAAAGTGTATTCTATTTTTAATATTTATATATGGCCAATCAGGAGTTGCTTGCTTGGTGCGAGTCTAAACAGAAGAATAAATATAATGTTCCTGCCTGCAGAGATTTCCCGCATCAAAGCAGCCCTACTTAACCGTTGCTCTC